TGTAAAATGGCGATTTGTAAAAGTTGTAATTTAATTTGTTGCTTCAAACACTGCAAAATAAGACAAAAACGTTGTTTTTTTATAACTATTGTAAAAATCAACCTAGGCATTTGTTGTTCCACCCAAAGTTGGATATTGTAGTCCTTAATAAACCTCCAAAATTTCAGATCGATCCATTAATTAAGTGCTTTAAAACTTATTCTATTTGTTTATCACAGAGACCTTTTTGCAGTACATTTTACAGCTTTTTTATCTTTAAAATGATAAAGTTTTGTAATTTTACCTTAAATATTAATCTTTTCAACGGTAAGCAAAAATAGAAAAATTGGCATTTTCTACACTAAATTGTTAATATTTAAAAAAGACGCCGAAATTTATGCGGAAAACATAATATATCAGCCTATAATAACTAAAAAAATTGTCAGATATCTGTATTAGTCACTGTCCCGAACAGAATTTCTTTTTTGCTTATTTCACTGATATACGAATAAAACGCAGATATCAAGCAGTTTTTTATTAAATTTTGCCTAAGTACTTTTACTCTCAAGGCATCTTCAGGGATATCTGAATCCAAGAAACGTTTTTTCAAGTAAGAGAAAATTAGTGAACTTGAAAATCAAAAGTTAATGGTTGATTTTTTTTTATTATTTAAAAATTATTTCGAAGCTACATTGCGGGCAACTGAAGGACACAGAATGGCTCCTGATCTTGAAGGACACAGAATGGCTCCTAATCTTAACAAAAATGTTAAAGTGACATCTGACATATGACAACTTACATGGACAGTCCAATTATGGTGATCTGCACATTTCAAAAAATTCTGTGGTAAACTGAACATTGACCAAAATTCCAAGTGACCACTAGTATAGGAAAAGCCAACTGATAAAATATACAATTATTTTAATTACTGTATTTTTTAAGCCCTTTTCTCTATTCGGATTGCCGAGTATAGGCCTCCCTTAATTCTCGCCATTCATCTCTGTTGCTTGAAAGACGTCTCCACATAGGTCCTGCAGTTCTTTTAATATCGTCGTTCCAACGCATATGCGGGCTTCCTCGTGGTTTTTGGCTTCATATGGCCGCCAATTCCCGATTTCTTTATTCCATCGGATATCCTTAAACCGTTTGTTATGTCCAGCCCATTTCCATTTCAGTTTAGCTGCCTGTTCGACAGCATCTTTTACTTTTGTTCTATTACGAATATCTTCATTGGTTTTATGGTACTTGAGGGAAATACCCAGCATCTGTCGTTCTATAGCTCTCTGAGTTTTTCTGATCTTCTCCATGTTTATTTTAGTGAATGTCCAGGTTTGAGCTCCGTATGTAAGTACAGGTAGGTTACAGAAGTTAAACACTTTGGTTCGCAGGCTTTGAGGTATATTTTTATTTTTAAGTAGGTATGAGAGTCTTCCGATTGCTGCCCATCCAATTTTTACACGTCTGCTTATTTCGTTATTCTGATTTTTTTTGCTTACCTTGACATTTTGACATAGATATGTATATTCATCTACGTGTTCTATCTTTGTCCCTTCGTTGTCGATGTTTATCATAGGTTTGCCATCTTTGTTTGACATTAGTTTGTGTGTAGCTCCTCAATCATCGTATTCAGTGCATTTCACGTATCGGCTATTAGTACTACATCATCTGCGTATCTAAGATGGTTCAAGTATCTTCCGTTAATAGGGATTCCCTTATTTTCCCAGTGAATTGACTTAAAGATATCTTCTACGGCAGCTGTAAATAATTTTGGAGATATTGTGTCTCGTTGTCTTACTCCTCGGTTGATTTTTTTGTTGTTTCGATTCTGCAGTGTCTCTTTTCTTTTGTCTCATAAGATCTTTTCTTTGTTACAGCATTTTTTGCGATTCTACACTTATTTTGGATTTTCGTTTTCTGTTGTTGCCACTTCTGAGCTTACATTTAATAGTTCTGTTATTATGACTTCATTGACTTCATTTAAGCTAAGTTTATCTAGATTTAATACTTTCGCGGATCTTAATTTGCTTTTATATTGTTCTGTATTAGATTTTATCTGCGTCTATATTCCAAGTTTTTCAAAATTTATTTCTATTTTATTATATTTTATCTCTAATTTGGCTCTAACCATTTGGTGATCGCTATTTACTGACGCCGTATTTATTACTGTTACGAGCTGTATGATATCTGTTCTGTTACACAGTATGTAATCTATTTCGTTCCGATTTTTTCCATCTGGGGATAGCCACGTCTACTTTCTTTGAGGCCTTTTCTTATAGAATGTGCTCATTGCATAGTATTTGTGGGCTTGTAGGAAGTTAACCAAGGTTTCTCCTCTCTCATTTCTAACTCCAGAGCCGAATTGTCCTATATAGTTTTCGGTTTTTTGCAATTGGTTGTTCGATCTTAGCGTTGAAGTCTCCTATTATCATCGTATACGTACTGTGATAATTCGTGCTAGTTTCTGCAATTTTCTCATAAAATTCGTCTATCTTGCTCTACTTTATGTGCATATTTCTTGGAAATTAGAAATCTAAGCCATCTAGGCTTTGTTCTTCTCGCCCTTTGTAATATACGACGTTACCGGGCTCTAGTGTTATGCACTCTTTCTTTTTACCTCTGCTAGACCAATTATGTCCCATTTTAAGTCCTTGATGTCTTTTTCGAGTTCGTAGACTTCATCTTTGTCTAAGGACCTTATATGTAGAGTTGCGATGTTTAATTGTGTGGTTTTTGTCCTTTTTTCCAAAGTTGTCCTGTTTTCCAAAGGAGTGGGATTTGCCATTACTGTATGGTCTCCCTACCTGGGGACCCATTCCTTTTGTTTTAGATATAGCCATATTCCTGTTAGGAGGTTTTTTAGCCTTAAAACACCACGCTGGTTAGACGGGTTGGTGAGTGATTATATATATGATATTATATCTATCTTCTTCTATCGTGGCAATCTTCCGTTGATAGATTCCGTTCGCTCATTGACTTTTTTATGTTTTGCTGTCACTCTAGTTTGGGTCTTTCTCGATTTCTATTCCCTATTGGAGTCCAGTTCAGTATTTTTTTGGGCCATGTAGTATTTTGCATTCGCTCTACGTGTCCGTACCAGGTAAGTTGTTTCTTTTCGATATCCTGAATTATCGTACCTTCTATTCCCATTCGTTGTTTTATATGGTCATTCCTCATTATTTCTCTTCGTGAGACTCGCATAGATCTTCTTATCGCGTCGATTTCGACTGCCTCTACCTCATTTTTTGTCTGTCTGGAATTCTCCATGTTTCCGCTCCATACAATAGGCTGCTCTCAACCATTGTCTCGTATATTTTAAATTTTCTCCTTTTTGTTATCTCCTTGCTCCACAAGATGCCATTCAGACATCCTATTATCTTTTTAGCTGTAACTATTCGTTTTTTCTGTTCCGGTATTGTATTATCTCTTTCACATCTGTTCCGGTATTGTCGAATGTGATACAAACTCCAAATGACTGAACTCCAAATTTTCGCTCTGAGAGCCTACACATAGATATTTCGTTTTATTTACGTTAACTGTCAATCCCCATTCCTCATACTCTTCTATTAGCTTTCTAATCATATATTGCATGTCGTCTTTGTCATTGGCCACTATGACCTGATCATCTGCAAACTGAAGAGTAAACAGGTATCTGTCATCTATCTCTATACCCATTCTGTGTATTTTCCTTTTCCAGTTCTTAAGTGCCGCTGCTACATATATTTTGAATAGTGTAGGAGAGATAGGACATCACTGACGTAGTCCCTTATTCACTATGAAGGCATCTGTGAGTTTTTTACCTATCTTAATTCTTGATTGTGAATTTTCATACAGCTCTTTAAGTGCAGCTATATAGTTGTGATTGATGTTCGTTTGTTCTAATACCTTCCACAGTCTCGATACTGGGACTGTATCATATGCTTTTTGTAGGTCCACAAATGTAAGATGGGTTTCCAGATGTCTAGCAGATCTCTTCTCTATGACTTGTTTTAGACAAAATACGTTCTCGGTACTCGATCTACCTGCTCTAAAGCCGCTTTAAGTATAGTCCTAGACTATACTAACGTATAGTCTGCTCAGTGTACTCGTGATTGATATGCCTCGATAGTTGTTACAGTCCAGTTTATTTCCTTTTTTATGGATGGATGATATATAAGCTTTTTCCAGTCTTCTGGAACAGGATGTCCAGTTAGGCATTTATTGATAATTATTGTTAGATTTCTAAAGAGTTTTTCCGTTCCCCATCTTAACATTTCGGAGAAAATCCCTTCTGGTCCGCTAGCTTTCGCTAACTTAGGGTTCAAAACTCTTTTTTACTGTTTCTTCGGATACCTCTACTTCTTCTCCATTTACTACATTGAGTGATTTTATACAATCCCTAAAATCAAGGGATTGCCACTTTCACCATTCACACCGTACCGAACGTATTCTTCTCTGCCGTGCCTGCCGTTGTGGACTTCATCCGTGACCCTGGGCAAGGAACCCTAAGCAGGTACTAGTTTACCGGGTCAGGAAACACCTGGAATCTGCGGAGGGCAGGGGATTGATTAATTTCCCTGATAAAACTATTCAAAGGAGTTCCTATCTGCTACCCGCAATTACTACATTTAGACTGTATAGTCCTAATTTCACACTCAAACATTTCAGTGATAATTTAGGTGCTAGTTTGGAGGCAAATGTAGTGGACACAGAATGTGAATGTAAGAACTGATTTTGCTACAAAACACTAAGTTCACTAAGTGCAAAAGTATAAATGCGACTGAAAATGTATAGAATAACGCTTGATAAATTTGTAGCGTACAAAGCTAATAAGTATAATAAAAGTTGCATTATAGAATAAAAGAAAATATTTAACCGTTCAGTGCAACTATTTCCAAAAGTGCTTGTTTCTTAATAAACATCTGTTTGCTTGTTTTTTATTAATCTAAATGTTTGTTTTACATTGCTACTCCGTTCACTCCACGACACTCTTTTCAACAACTCGTACACTGCGAACATGTCTATGGTGGTTGTGAAACATACAGGGTGAATCCAACGCGACGAGGATAGAGGTGGCCAACCAGCGGGCACATGACCTTCTCAAGTAGACACAACACACAAAAACACTGAAAAGTTTATACTTTCTATCATTTTTTGCGATTCCAACTCGTTCCTACTGGATACTTGAAACAATTAAATATCTATTGCTTTTTTAGCTACTTAATTAGTCAGTGTTCAATATAATATATAAATGCTGTTTCGTAATTAACAAAACTAGGATAATCGTCATGGTGACATAATCACGAAAAGTTTATAAAATATCTATAATTTAGTCCTATTATTTTCAATTTTATGAAGTTTCTTTAAAAAAAATAAACTTACATTTGCATCATAAAACAATCGTTTCAATACTTTAATTGTTATAAATTGGCGATAACGTCACAGGTGCCAAAATAGGCAGTGTTGCCAATTATTTCTTAGTCTTTGTACTAGTATTTGAATTGACACGCACTGTCCTATGGAAAACTGAACAATATGCGCTATTCATTTATGTCAAATATCAAATATTGCGTGATAATTGTAGATTTCTGAGAATGAATAAACAATAAGAAAAACTGCTTCAAATATCACAAGTATAGATATGAGAAACACCGTGAAAAAACCAGGCAAAAAGTTGTTTATATTAAAATTACATTAAGTAAACTTTGGAAGAGGTCTGAAAGAGAACTGTTCAGTCGGTCACAAAGTTATCTGTGAATAAATGTTTGATCTTTAAACCTTAAAACAAAACAACCAATTAAATGTTAAAAAAATAATTGATTTTTAATACTTCTGCAAAAATTGTTAGTTCTATTGAATAACAGTTTCTTTCTGCTTTCATTTGCTTTATTTCTTCCAGCTGTCATCATCGTTTTCGTGGTAAATATTATTGAAATTGGCACCATTTTAGGTTATGTTGGTAAATTGGATAAAAAAATGAAAAGTATTACTATTTTGTTACTAAAAAACTGTAGAAACGATGAATATTGTCAGAGATTAATACTTGAATAAAGTAGACAAAAAGTTAGGTTAATAAACCTGTCACTGATATTATAAACCAGAATCTCCTCATCGTTTGTTAACTGTGCTTAAATAATTGTTCGGCGTTGTTGACAGCTCATAAAAAGTATGTATCTTTGATCAAAGTTATCAGAACTGTTCTATATTTTATAATATATTAGCAATAACGGCTCCAACGTGACAAGTTTAACTAATATTACATATTTGCCACATATTGTATAGGTGCATATAAAACACTGATTATTCCAGAATAATTTTAAGCTCCCATTGCGACAGTTTCTGTTTTGTTGTTTAAATTGTTTATTAAGATTTTCGAGCATATAATTGGTACTAACCTTAACACGTTCACTGCCAGTGTGCATTGAAAAAGCACTTAGGTAACAATTGAAGGGCTTAGAAGGTTAAGGTGCTATGTTACAAATAACTGAAAATGAGATAATCCAGGTTAAAGTTTTTTTGGTTGCATTTTTACAAAAACCTGTTAAAAAACTCAAATTTTTAATCTAGAATCTTTTGGATAACAAAAGTTCTTGCGAGCAATTTTTTTTTTTTGAAAAATATACAATTTACCCTTTAAAAAAATTCAAATATGTACATAGCACTTTTGTCCACCAACCTATTAGGATGTAGGGTATATGAAAACAAGTACATGGTGCTGTGTGTAGATCAGAAGACAAGCCAAAGTCACAAATTAAAGCTATATTTTATTTAAAATAAATCAAAATAACATTCTGTTAGTCAATGCAAAAATGGTATACAAACATGTAGGACGCTACCCTTTTTAACTGCCCTGCAAAATTGCTTCGTAATACCATGTGTGTTCAAGGGGTACATATGGCAATAACTGCTTTATGTCTTCTTTTTTCTCTGCAGACAAACTGCCAATCTTTTTGTTTATTCTTGGAACTGCAAAGTTTGGGGATATAACACACATAGTTTTATTTGTCTTATTGGTAGACCTATAACGTCGAATATCCACTTTCTTGAACGGCATATTGGGGTCGTAGCTATATTTAAACAGATAACTACCAAATTCATCTACCCTTATCCATTTGATGCCATATCTAAATTGAACAGTCTCTCCAAGAAAATCCTTTTTCCGGTTTACTAGTTTTAGAGATGTAGCTAAGATCCCAATAACATAGATATCCCAATTTTCAAGCAAATGTAACATAACACCTTCACCTTCCAAGCCCTTCAATTATTGTTTGATGCTATGCCGCCTAGTAGCCTGACTGGCATCTACTACGGGACTGTTGAAGGATAATCGACAGTGAACAAGTTATAAGAAAGTTGTGGAGATAAAAATGAGGTCATTTTTATCTCCACAACTACCTACATGTTACCGCACGACATTTTTAAAAATGAGGTCATTCTTCTGTAATGATAACTTGCAACTTCAACTTCGAAAGCGCATGGTTAAATGCTACATTTGGTCAGTCCTCTTATACGGTGTCGAAGCATGGACATTAAAAATATCCACCATTAATCGTCTGGAGGCCTTTGAAATGTGGCTGCACAGACGTATACTAAAAATTCCATGGACGGCTATGCTGACAAATGTGGCAGTCCTTGAGAGAGCAAATGCTGCTTCGCGAGCTGCTTGATAACATCAAATGTAGAAAGATGGCCTATTTTGGACACGTAGTAAGGGAGACCGATATAATATTCTTCAACTTATTATGATGGCTAAAATCGAAGGACGCAGAGGAATTGGTAGAAAGCAGGCCTCTTGGTTGAAGAATATCAGGGAGTGGACAGGAATAAGGAAAGCTGAGCAACTCTTTAGAATAGCTCGAGACAGAGACAGTTTCGCCATGTTAATCGCCAACGTCAAGGGGACTTGATAGGGCACGTTAAGAAGAATGAGATAAAAAGAATCGCACTAAATCGAAATTTTTTGCGAGAACAAATGTAAAACTAATCTTCAGACGCTCTACGTCGTGTTGAGTAACACATATAATCTGCTTTCTTCCTATCTTGTCACCAATATTAAGGCACTTTTCGTATCGTATACGGTTTTTTTACCGTTTTGGCCTTACCGTCGATTTAGGGGCGATAGCAGACTATATAATTCTTCAAATACAGATACTGATGGTAGTCATTGGGTGCTAGATCGAGACTGTGCGTAATGAACAAATCTTTCATCGTTAGTGAAAGTCTTTCTCTTCGTGAATATTCCGGTAACAATTTTTGAAGAGATTTTACTCGTGCTTAAAATGCTACTTTACCTTACCTACTTAAAGTGCTACTTACTTTACTTACTTAAAGTGCTACTTTAAGTGCTATTCCAATGGTTATAAACTTTACTGATCTTATAAATACGAATTTAGGCATACTACAGTTACAGTGAGACATTAGATACCAACCAATTTTTTGTTTGTACTTTTACAATAAACAATACTTACTACTGATTGGTTATGTCACCATGACAGTACTTGAACAAACGCTATTCAATTTTTATATTTAGAAAGAGTATAAAGTTGAGGGACCAGGTTGAAAGGTACAGTGTTGAATAGTATAACAGCCGCATGATTGAATATTCTGTAAATATTACTTTAATTAAATATGGCGCTAGTTTTTTGTTCTGTTTGTTTTCTATTAATAAATATTTAAATTTTATACCGATGTTTAATTTGGTAGGTTTAATTCTAGCTGTAGAATTAAAAAGTTACGAGGTAAATACGAGAACCGAGTGCGTTAACGTAGAACTTGAACCATATCTATCCAAAGCACAGTATTTGAGTGTGTATATCCATAAAAATTAGATTACTAACCGAATCATGTATGGTAGTAGTTTTTCTTTCATAAAACGCAACTTATACCGAACAAAAACTATTATATGATATAGTTTCAGCCTAAAGACTATAGTTTCGCATAAAGCGAGTAATACAGTAATGTCAAGTGTCATGTGTCAAACGTCAGATAACTTTGTGTTATAAAATTTAAGCAGAACAATTTCCAAATGTGAACAGCTGGTGAAACACCATGAAATAGATCCATCAGAGCTGAATTTATATCGAAACTACGAAATTTTACAATTTGTGCAGGTGTTTTTATTCTGTAGAAGTTGCCCGTTCATCACATACATACATTATCATAATTTAATCTATACCGTAACGAATAAATCATAATGCTTCAGCTATTTTATTAAATATCTCTTGAATGATGACAATATATGTAACAGATTGGCAAATTTTTTGGTAGGTAATCGTTTTTTATTAAAAAAAACTAAGTACTAAGAAGCTAAGATTAAGAGGAATAACATTTTTAAAATATGATTTAGAAATATATTTTGTGCGCGGTTTTTCATCAGTGTAATTAAAAGTTAAGTCTTTATTTTTGATAATGTCTAGACGAACCTTACTTTTTAAGCTAACTTCTCCAGAATTTAGGCTCCAATCTTGTCAAATTGTCTTCTGTACCTTGTTCTTCGTCTTGCTTTTTCTTGTAATAATTTCCTTCAACAATGACAGTTTTATTGCGTTTTGCATGTGTTTACTGAATTTTTAGCCAACTCTTCGCCCTTTAAATACCGAGCACTGGCCTGTCACATGCCTATCAGGCCATCTTTCGCCACTTACATGAACTATTGGCCTACAAATGACGTACCACGTGCCTCTCACACCATGTTTCGCCACTTACATGAACTATTGGCCTACAAATAACGTACTACGTGCCTCTCACAGCCATCTTTCGACTCGTTCCTGAACTAATGTTATGTTCCTAAGCAGAAATCATAGAAAATATTCTTTTGGGATCTTAAACCTGGTATATATATCGAACCGTGTCAATTTTTTTAACGTGAAACTTTCATACAAATAAGAAATGTAACATAATTAGAATTTAAGAGAATCACTAACTGTCACACTGATGGAACGCCCTTCACACAAACCGATACACTGTCGGCTGATCTATGCCAGAATCATTTGATACATAAACATACCCGCATGTTAGTTGCTCTTTGTGGCTTATGTAACTCATCCCAAATTGCCAAAAGTAATACGGCGGTTAAGCCAGGTGCTGCATGGTTATCATTAAACTAAGGTTTTACTCATGAAGTGGAGTTGTAGAATAGTTTTGATATTCTAGGGTTATTGTGTGTTTTTGATACAGATCGACTAAAGTTAGGGGACAAGTTAAATAGTTTAATCAAAGTAGGTAATACCCACAGCAAAAAAGTTTTTTTTTCTCAAACATAGGTGGTATTATTCGATAAATTAACCATTTCAGTAATAATAATATAAAAAAAGCAGTCCAGCAATTTCCAAAATTCCTTGTTATTCAAAAACAAAGCCAATATCTGTCGTAGTTATTTGTTTCTTTTGTCATTCACATTGTATTTTTGAGATGTTTCACTGTGTATACAACCACATCACATATTTACCCACAATGTGAATTCCTCAATTGTAACAGCAGATTAACCGAGACCAGCTAAATACAAAAATAGCCAACGAGTGCACGTTTATGTTCGTCAATTCTAATTTTTTAATTTCTGGATGTTTTTCCTATATAAAATTAGATTGCAGCGATTAAATATTTTTTTATAAAGGCGCAATTCATGGATGTTTCCGTATTAACCTATTCTCGTCAAAATTGAAGGAAAATATATTTTTAATATTCACGTAATAATTAGGTGGCATACTAAAATGCTTTTGTGATAACAAACCGAAAAAAGTGTTGGAACTTTCTAATTTTAAAACAACAAAACCGATTTGATATAAATGTTATATTATTGCTGTATTGTTGGTTGCCTATTGACAGTATTGTTGGTAATATTATTGTCTTGTTGATTGCCTATATAACGTTGAAAATTCCCGTTCCTAGATAACTTCTGCAAATCAGTATAATTCTATCAGCAATACAGCTGAATGAATTGAAGCTAATTCTTCTTATATATTGTTTGCCAAAGGATAATGAGAATATAATAGTTTATTCGATTGATATGTAGGAACCGGATTGATTCTGACACAGACGCGTTAACACATAAGGGAGTGGTGTTTTAAAGTTCAATTTTTTATAAAAATAGTCCTTGTAGACCTGTTTTATTAAAACATATTTGGATTTATCAATAAGGCAATTTAAAATCACAGAGCTGTCAATCAAAAGAGAATATTCTGCGCTGTCACATCGAATATTTCGTAATCCATACACTGTGTGTGTGTGTGTGTGCGCGCGCGCGCGTGTGTGTGTTTTATTGGCTATTTGAATGTATTAAAAGCTATTTGGATGTATTATCAAGTCAAAAACAGTTGTGTAGACTCTGTTTAAAAACTAGAAAAAGCAGATTGTCAGAATAATATTTCAATCAAAATAAAAAAATCAGTAATTTTTAATAAATCAGAATCAATTGAAAATATTAATCATAAAATATTTTTATTAAAGGCAAATACCACAGTACCGTTTAGTGAGGGGTTTTATTTTATATCAAGTCACTGTATCTTATACATGATTCTGTTTAAACGTATCTTTGAAGGTACAGAATTTTGAAGTACAAAGAAACAACTATGTGGCATGAAAAATAAATTTGTGGAATGTTGCATGTTGATACAGCTAGTTTATTTTACATTTAGGCAAAGGGTGTAATTTGGTAACATACGTTTCTGCATGGAACTACAAAAGCACATGATAACATTATAAAAAGTATGCGATATACAATGATTAATAAAACTGTTACAAATTAACTGTTTTGTTTGGAACTCTAGTAGGAACGTGTTGACTTGTAGTATTAATCTTATATATAAAAATGGCACCTGGTTACTAATTAATGTTGGTTAGGGTGAAAGCAACGAAACTCGCATTGCAGTCGCCAACCAGCGTGCCAACAAACTACTTAAGTCCTAAACAGAGAGAGAGTGGTGGGGGATGATACAAGTCGTCTTTTATACTTCTTTCTCAATTCTAGGTGTTATTCGGCTTGATCAAATAATAGTTTGCACTTATATTTCATCTAGTATTATATCGATATGTGAGATATGGCGCAAGATGTGTGGTAAAATGAAAATACACCGCTGGATCTAGAATTTGTTGTACTGTATCGGGACTGATGAGCGAGAGATAGACTTAAAGATGCTAATGTAACTTAAACTCTTCAATATCATTGTATACATGTATATACACCATTAAAAATATACTGGGTTGCTGAAAACATTTGATTATAATATAGTATATACAAACCGTAGTAAAGTTCCCAAAAGGCACAACTTGAAATAAAATTTGTCATTCGTTTTCAACTCAGCAATTCAACTTTTGCGACCTTAAAAACCTTATAATACTGTTTTTCTCATAAAATTTATTAAAACTTTATATATATGGTCGCCATATTGGATCCGCCATTTTCAATTTTACAATTTTGACATCAGATTTGTCGTCAGCGACCCTAAAACCTTATAATACTGTATTTCCCATTAGATTCATTAAAATTTTATATATGGTCGCCATATTGGATCCGCCATTTTGAATTTTGCAAGTTTGACATCAGATTTGTAATCAGCGACCCCTAAAACTTTATATACATGGTCGCCATATTGGATCTGTCATTTTGAATTTGACAATTTTAACATCGGTCAAAGCAGACGTTAAATATTTGATCAAATTAGTTTCAGCAAATTGACGTAATGAAGTGTCAAATTTGATCAAAATTGACGTTATAGTAAATGAAATTTAATTGTTTTTTCAATTAATTCAATTTTTTTATCCATAGGCTAAAAGGATTTGTTCTAATAATCTGGATGCTTGACATTATATATATTATATATATATATATATATATATATATATATATATATTATATATATATATATATATATATATATATATATAATGTCATATATGGATATAAATAGATTCTAGATAATGGATATAAATCAATTATCTAGAAACTTGTTCCAGTCTCCCAAGTATAACTTTTGTTTTATAACAAAATAGGACTAGTTTAAAACCGAATTTTCTGATAATCGAGATAACCTCAAAAATGTAGTCATGACGCCACATATTTATGACCCATTGACATGGTCTCTAATGGCGGGAGGCCAACATATTATATATTCAAGGTGCATTTACCTTCTAGAAAGTATTTCTTTATTACAATTTTGAAAACACAAAACTTACATAAATAAAGTCATGTTATAATCAAATAAAAAATTCCCAATAGGTTTGTTCTAGCAAACAGACAAAACTAGTCAGAAAACCGTCAGCAAACAGTTGGTCAGCGAGAGAAAATAATACAGTCACCAGTGCTATATCCCCTCTACTCGCACTGGTCCACTATTCGCTGATGGTTTCAAACCATTTTGAAACTGATGCTAGAACAAACCTAATATATTTCCTTAATAGTGTTAGCTATTGTCATATGTCATATAGTTTCATTTTATAGATACGAAATTATCGATGGTATAATTGATAATCGATATTTGACAATCGAGAAGCATCGATATAGTTAAGCCCTTTATTCCGTCATAAAGCTGCATAAGTTTATATAATATGGATGTCCAAAGGCGAAATCTTACAGCCAGTTATTAGATTTATGCGTAATAACTCAAATACCTGTCGGAACCAGAATTGAAACTTAAATCCGTGAGTTATTATACACTGAGCCTTATCCCGGTTGCTAAAATATAAT